GCCGCTGTCCGCGGTGCTGGAGCCGCTGTCCGCGGTGCTGGAGCCGCTGTCCGCGGTGCTGGAGCCGCTGTCCGCGGTGCTGGAGCCGCTGTCCGGGATGTGGGAGCCGCTGTCCGGGATGCGGGAGCCGCCTCCCCGGATGCCAAGCGACCCGCCCGGGGCACCGAGCTCACTGCGCTGCTGTCCCCTGGCTCTCCGCTCTCACGGCGCCAGGTAACCGTCTTTGCCAGCGCAGTTAAAAAAAAAAAAAATACAAAGAGAGGAAAAAAGGAAACAACAACAAAAACCACCCAAAACCCGGAGACACGAGCAGTGGGGACAGTGGAGGAGGAGGCTATGACTGGACTGGAGGAGAGGGGGGAGGGGAATCTTCGGTCCTCCCCTTTGCACACTGATTTGCAACCCCCTTCCTGTTTTGACTCTTCTGAGTAGCTCCGCTCTGAGACTGAGTACGTGGTTGAAACCCAAATTGACGCAATCCTGACGCTACAGGGCTGAAATCAGCACCTTTCCCGCCTCCCTCCCCCCCGTCCCCAGCCACCACACCCTCCCTCCCTTCCTCTCTGTCTCTCTCTCCCTTCCTACACCCTCCTACCCCCCTCCCCGTCCCTGTCTTGGGATTGAATATGCACTCATCGATTATTTTAACTGCCTTGTTGCAGGTTATGAGCTCCCCCACACACCCCTCCACTGGACACAGACAGTGAAATGGCAATGTCTGTGATTCAGTGCATGCTCTGAAAGACATGAGTGTGCCTCTTTTGCCAGGGTAAGATCTATTCATTTGCTTAATTAACTATCAGCTGTGCATGTTACAACAACAACATGAAAGAGTTGCCAACCTGAGAGAGTCCAGACACCTTGGCTCCAGCTGCACAGCACACGTTTTTCCTATGACTGATGAGATACATTTACTGAATTTGAGTCACAAAAGCTCCAGATGTGACTTGTCCCTGTGCCTACTCCCTGCTTCCTCCCAACATCCACCCCCACATAAGCATTCAGCCTCCAGTTTGGAAATCATCTTGATCTTCCTGCAGGTCTGGGAAAGAGATGATTTTACTTCTAGATTTCACTGGTTTAGAAGTCTTGTCTCCCAGTGTGAACTGAGAATGTGGTGGGGAGACAGGGAAAGTGTGGCAGAATGGAGAAATGTGGGGGGAACAGGATGAGAAAGCAAGGCTGCCTGTAACTAGAATGTCTAGAGTGTATAATAAACCAAACTATCTCCTTGTGAAACAGAGCTGCAAAAGCCAGCACCCGGCATCTGACTCCACCTGGATTTAAATGGAAGTACAGCAGCCAGGTATGGAGCTAATTCTTCAGCATAAATGGGAAACAGGTGTTGTTGCTTCTCTAAATAGCAAAATCCAGATGCAGACATTGTCTGGCATGACCTTACTACATGGTCAGCCACTTGGAAGCTAATATGTCTTGCTCCATGTAAAAGCACATTCTTCCTTCTCAGTGAAGTCAGTGAAGATCCTGGGATTTTAGCAAAATTAAACTAGGAAGGTTATGGAATCATAGAATATCTTGAGTTTGAAGGGACCTGCAAAGATCATCAAAGTAAAACTCCTGGCCCTGACAGAACACACCAAAAATCCCACTGCGTGCTTGAGAGCATTGTCAAAATGCTTCTTAAACTCTGCCAGGTTTGGTTCTGTGACTGCTTCTGTCCTGAGAAGCCTGTTGCAGTGCCCAGCCACTATGTGGGGGAAGAGCCTTTTTCAAACATCCAGCATAAACTTCCATGACTGAGCTTCAGGCTTTTCCCTCATGTCCTGTCATTGGTCACCAGAGAGAAGTGATCAGTGCCTGGCTCTCTGCTGCTTCTCATGAGAAATATACAGAGTTTATATATGGTTGTGTACAGTGATAATGTTCCCCTTCAGCCTTCTCTTTTCCAACTGAACAGACCAAGAGCTCTCAACCACTTCTCATACTGTTTCACCTTTGGATCTTCCACCATCCTCATACCCCTCCTTTAGATACCTTGTAAGACCTTTGTCTCTTTCCTTTACCATGGCACCCAAACTGCTCACAGCATTCAGGGTGAGGCCGGCCCAGCCCAGAGCAGAGCGGGACAATCCCCACCCTTGCTCAGCTGCTGATGTTGGGCCTGATGTCCCCAGGACAGGGATGTCCCTCCTGGCTGCCAGGACACTTCTGGCTCAACTTGCTACTGACCAGGACCCGCAGGTCCCTTTCCATGGCACAGCTTCCCAGGATCTCATCCCCCACTCTGTCCAGACACTCAGGGTTGCCCTATCACAGGTGTAAATCTTGCATTTTTCCTCGTTGAACTTCATACAGTTGGTTATTTCCCATCTCTGTCATTTGTTAAGGTCTCTCTTCAGGGCCTCTCTGCCCTCAAAGGAGTTAACAGCTCCTCCCAACTTAGTACTGTTAGCCTCCCTTTAAGTCAACCTGTCAAACTGGTGTAAAAACACAGCTGAATGAAGTGCCTGGCATATCCTGGGTCTTGAGAATCCATTGGTTAATACTGTTTTTGTTTATCTGCTTCTGCTATACCTTCAGCAACTGGGTCTCAGTATACAGCTCCAAAACTCTTGCAGGAAGAGCTGCACCCAACTACCCTAATCATCATTACATCCCACTCCTTTTAATGAAGTACAGAGAATAACTTGCCACCACTGTTCCCCTTACAAACACCTGGAGTATGATAAATTTGGGTATAAGAAGACTCTAGAAACTGTTGTAGAGCTCTTTTTTGGTATGTTTTGGCAGCACAATTTAATTTGGAATCTCTGGATTCACATGTTGGCACAAATCCAAGCAAACCTGGCTCATTTTTTTTTTTATTTTTTCTGGCAATGCTCATTCCCCTAGCCCTGCTATCCACTTCTCTTTCCCTGTCCAAAACCCAGACTTGCTCAAAATGTGCAGACACTGAAAGCAATCACATTTGATTTTAGACTACATTTTAAGTATATGAACCTTAAGACTTGACTGAAATAAACAAAATCCTAAAAGAAATTTGGAGTTAAACACGTATAACTGGATTATTTGATTATTGTAAATTATTATGTCTGGACTTTAAAAACAAAGGGCTGAGAATCAATATATAGTATATCTGGATAGTGCATTTATTCTCCTTGAGCTGGGATAAATATTATGTTGACTCTTGAATTATTGTTGGCAATTATTAAATATTTTTTCTTTTTTTGAGTAAACCCCAAGACTTCCTTTGTCAAAATATACATTGTTTAGAGACCCCACAGAACTACAAAAGTGATTGAATCTGGTTTTCTTCTGTTTAGTTTATCATACATCCCAGGGATATATAAAAATCTTTTACACAATATGTACTTTATTTTAATAATTCACAGAGATAATTCCCTTTAGCATTCAGTGTTTTCTTTTTTTCTTTTATTTTTATTTTCTGAGATGATGCTGGTGAAATGGGGAAGATATGTGTCCTTTTATTTCTTTTTTTTCCTCCTTTTCAGAAATTTGTGACAGCTCATGGATTTTTAGATACCAGTTAAGACTTGTGTGGTGTTGTGTGCTGTACATAGAGTAGAGAGCCTTTCTTTTTATCTCAGTTTTTTGTATGTATATCACTTTAATAAAGTAACATAAAAAAGGTTTCACAACAGCAAGTCTGTCTTTAGAAACTTGGAGCTGCTAAGACTGTGTATACACAGACACATGAATAAACATATCTACAGATATGAAAAGTAGTCATTTTATGTCTTTATTGCTTTGATCAGCGAAATAGCAAATAAAGATTGTTTTTTACATCACACATGAACCTTCTGTATTTAATACAGGACTCCACTTATTGGAACAGAGTGTTCATCATGGAAAATACTTGGTGGGGAGGGTGGAGCACTGAACTGCTGACACATCTTGAGACAGACACACGTTTTCTGCCTGTGTTGTGCAAGCACCATCTAGTGTACATCTCAGAGTCATCAGCACTGGATGACGAACGTGCACCCCTGTAGGTACCACAAGCATGAGGATACATAACCAGCCCACTGCTGATTCATTGCACTCCTGACAAATCTCCAGAGGGAAAATCGTGTGAACCCTGTGTGTTTCTTAACCAATTAAGTGATGGTATTTCTGTCTTGCAAAACAGTAATGACTCTTCATTTCTGAGGCTGTAAGTTCTTCACGTTTATCTCTGTTCTAAGGAAGCACTGTGTATACTTCACACAGTTTGCAACGGGCTCTTCAGTACAAACCTAGGCTAGGAACTCACTGCCCAGGTAATATTTCTTTCCTTTTGCCAGCAAACAATGATTTCAAACACTTCCAGCTCAGAGACAGAACATTAAAAGGAGCTGAATGAGATTTTGCCTGCATTGAATCAAAATAGATTGATCATCTGGAAAATATCACAGTATGTTATCTGGCTGACTGTATCACAACAGGACTGTCTGTGGTCTGAAAACCAGATTACTGGTGCACATGCATGTGCATGGCATCCTCCTGCTACTACAAGAAGAGGGAGTGTGGTTGCTAAGTGATAAAGATTGTGCACTTCCCAAAGCAAAGTCTCTGAACACACATGTAGGGCTGGAAAAGGTGGCCCCCACACCTGCAAATGAATTGTTGCTGTTTTTCAGATTCACATGCCTATATGTGAAGGAAACATAATCCTTTCTTTTTAAGAAAGGAAAAAACTCCAAGTTATTTTAAACAAATGTCCACCTAGTTCCTCCCCATCCCAAATCCCCTCCACAAAATCAGAAAACACTTAAAAATAAAACTCAGTGATTTATATATATGAGGTGAAGCTGGGAAAATGGCCCTTTTCCATCTCTGTAGAATGTTTCCCTGGGGCTGAAAGACAGTTTCAAAAATAGCATACAATTTTGAGTTCTGCAGTTGCCAGGTGCCAAACTACAGACATTAATTAATACTACTCAGCATCTGTAAAAATCAAGCCCTCCAGCCATGTTTACAAAACAAAACCTCAGCAAAAATACCAATATTGGTCCCTGG